TGTTTCGGCTTGCTGATTGTTCCCGAGGGGGCTTATCTAGATGACCTGGCAACGGAACATCCAGTTCCCAACAACATTTCAATCTTTTGGGAAAGTCGATTAAAATGAAATGGAATGTTACCCAATCAAGGGTGAAAGTAACTTACATTTCTTACCAGCATGGTCTCGGGAGGGGGGGCGGAGATGATGGTACTTGAAGCAGAAAAAAGGAACTGTTAGATTGGAGTCCAGTAGCCCCTTAGAGACCAACAACAGTTTCAGAGTATAAGCTTTTGAGAGTCAGTGCTCCATTTGTCAGTCCATTTTGCTCACTTAGAACATAACATAAGAACAGAAGAGAAGCCATGTTGGATCAGGCCATTGGCCCATCCAGTCCAACACTCTGTCACACAGTGCTAAAACTCAGGGGCCATCAGGAGGTCCCCCAGTGGGGCCAGAACTCCAGAAGCCCTCTCACTGCTGCCCCCCAAGCACCAAGAAGGCAGAGCTTCAGTGCCCCAGACATAAGAACATAAGAGGAGCCATGTTGGATTAGGCCAGTGGCCCATCGAGTCCAACACCCTGTGTCACACAGTGTCCAAAAAGGCCAGGTGCCATCTGGAGGTCCACCAGCAGGGCCTGAACTCCACAAGCCCTCCCTCTGTTGCTCCCCCCCAGCACCAAGAATACAGAACATCCCTGCCCCCATATGGAGTGTTCTGTCTATACCTTACGGCTAATAGCCACTCATAGACCTCTGGTCCATACGTTTATCCAGTTCCCTCTTGAAAGACTTCCTTTCACTTTCTTAACCGGTACATCATTAGCGGCTTACTTTCACCCTTCTCCCCAGTCTACGTACACTAGTGGTGCTGGGGATTAACATTTCTTCATTTCTTCTTTTTGATCCTTTTAAAGTCTGTGCTGGAAAAGGGAGCACAGATTTTTTTAAAAAACGTTAAGTCCACTCAAATACTCATGAAATGGCAGAGCTGAATACCGTTGATGCCTAACTAGTTACTTTATTATTATTATAGTTTAGGTGGACATTTTTACACTGGAGTGGTATAGCTGAGACCATGTTTGTTCCCTTAAAACACATGGGTGTGGGTATGGGGCTTGTAATGCTTACCTTTTTCTGTGTAGAATTTTCTGGAGACCTCCTAGCTGCGGTGGCTCAAGTGGTTAAGGTGCTGAATTGCAGGCTGTGGAAGGTCAGTAGTTCAGCAGTTCGAGACCCGGGTGCCACATGACGGAGTGAGCTCCCGTCTCTCGTTCCAGCTCCTGCCAACCTAGCAGTTCGAAAGCAAGAAATTGCAAGTAGATAAATAGGGACCACTTCAGTGGGAAGGTAACAGCGTTCCATGCACCTTGGTGTTTAGTCATGCCGGCCACATGACCACGGAAACGTCTTCGGACAGCGCTGGCTCTTCGGCTTTGAAACGGAGATGAGCACCGCAACCCTAGAGTCGGATTTGACTGGCTTTTGAACAAGGGAACCTTTACCTTTACTTTTACCTAGAATTCCAACTGGTTTCCATAGGACAGAGATCAGTTTCCCTGGAGACAAAGGCTGCTTTGGGGGGGTGGACTCTGTGGCATTATACCCCACTGAGATCTCTTCCTTTAAACCTTGCCCTCACCAAGCGCCACCCCCAAATCTCCACAGTGTTCTCAAGCTGGAGTTGGCAACTGTCGTGTCCTGCTCCTTGCAACTCCCATTCCGGATACTGAGGGGGAGGCCAACTCAACCAGCATATCGGGATCAGCCCAGTTTTTACTGGGGGGGAACTGGGCAGGGTGCTGCACAATATTATACAGAGAAGCTGGGATCCTTCAGCTTCATTGCTCACATCAAGGGGCTGGATTTGTTTCCTTCAGTGTCAGCTGTCTTTATTTTGGAGGAAAGCGTCTTCTTCCCTCTAAAATAAGGCAGGGGAAGGCTCACAGGTCAGTGGTAGAATATCTGCTTGGCATGCAGAAGATCCCAGGACCAATCCCCGGCACCTCCAGTTAGAAGGATTCAGTCAGAGATAATGCGAAAGACCCCTGCCTGAGGCCCTGGAGAGCAGCTGCCAGTCTGAGGTCCCTGCCACACGGGGGGAAAAAAGTCGGGCAAAAGTGCGGCTTTTAAAAGCCGCACCAAAATAGGCACGTGGCGGCGGGATCATACAGATCTCGTGCAATTGCTCCCCAGCACGATCAGATGCTGGGGAGACCGGGGAGACAGCGACAGGAGGCTGCCAAACTGCGCATGTCTGAGCATGCGCAGTTCGGCCAGGAGCCGGGGATGCGCCGGCGAAAGGACGCGCCGGCGATCCCACGGCCGGCCTTGCTGTGGCCTTGCCAGACTAACCAGCTCGGTAGGTGGTTCAGAGGTCATTTCGGGGGGGGATCGCGGGGGATCGCAGTTCCCCCGGGTGAGGTACGGGGGCGGGGCACATGACAAAGCCCCGCCCCC